GCCCCTCCGTGAATCCCGGCCTTCCTCCTGGCTGGCGGGAGAGGAGCATCGCCGCGCCGGGGACAAAAAAATAAGGATTGTTCCCAGAGGGAAGTGATTTCAAGCGAATCCAAGCCCACACCGGAGAAAAAATGCCACTTCCCTGGGACTGCTGGGAGAAGCAGCACGGCAGCCCCCGGGACAGGTCCATGGAAAATACCCTCGGCGTGTCCCACCGCTGACCCAAAAATCCGGCGTGCCCCTTCTCCACCCCACTCCCACCGGCACTCCCCGCTCACTCCCCGCTGGAAAACACGGCCCGAGCCCTTCCCAGAGGTCGCTCACCTCAGAGAACAGGTAAAATTCCTCGGCAAAGTACTGGAAAGCCAAGTAGTGGTTGAATACGACCAGCGCTGCCGAAGGAAGGACAGCCGTCAGCCTCCAGCCCGGCCGCCACTCCGCCGGCTCCCCTCCGCTCCCCGTACACACGGAATCCTGCTCCCACGGCCCCAGCTCTCGGTTACCCTGGGCAACCCGGGTCGAGCCCCTCATCCCAGTGGGTAACCGGGAAAAGCCCAGCCCGGCGCCGGAAGAGGAAGCGAGAAATCCCGCTGAGCTCACAAGGAATTGGCAGCTTTCCCCTTTTTTTGGGGATGCCGAGAGCGCTGGGTCTGTAAAACCCCAGCAAGACACATTCCCACCACGACCATGCTGCGTCCCGCTCCGCTTCCTTGTCCTCTCCAGCCCCAGGATGCCACCCGAGATCCAAGGGCCAGCGGAACACGCCGTTCCCGCTCTACACGCCACGGGAGAGCTACGCTCGCTCTCATGGAGCAGGGAAAATATCCCACCTACGGGAATGCTTTGGGGAGCAGAGGGATTTCAGTCAGGCAGACAGTGCCCCGAACGACGAGCGAGGGCTCTGGAATGTCGGGATGGGAGAGATTTTGCCCGTTCGCTACTTGCGGCGTCGCTCCGAATCGCTGGGAGCGGGGATTTAAACTGGGATCCGTGCAGGGGAGACCAAAACACACGGGAAACCCGGCAACTCGTGGCGGGAGGAAACCATCCGGCCCGCTCAGAGCTGCCAAAACCCAGCTCGACTGGCCGAGCTGCCGGCCCAGCTCCCCGGCTCCCGCTCCGGAGCGATGTGGTGGGGTGGAGCAGGGGGTGTCCCCACATCGCCGGATCCAGCCCACAGTCACTGCAGCCACATCCTAAAGCTCCAAAAGTCCAAAACCCTAAAGCTCTGCTGCCCCCCAGAGCCCACCCGGCGGCAGGCGAGGAGGCTTCCCCCTCCGGCGGGACCCCCACTCACCGCAGGAGAGGATGAAATTGGAGGAGGTGAGGACGATGAAGGGGAAGGTCTGCAGCAAACCGAAGTAGACCAGGTTGGTGAAGAGCCCCACGCCCACCATGAAGCCGGGAAAGCGCTCGAAGAGGTAGAGCCCCACCAGCACGGCCGAGGAAAACTGGGAGAGAGAAACCGGGCTTTGGGAGGGGGGGGAGGTCGCCTGCGGCAGACACGGGCGGCCACGAGCGAGGGGACTTTTAGTGCCCTCCGACGGCGCCACGTCTCCCCCCAAGTCGGCATCAGCCCCTTGGGAAAGGTCCAAATAGGAATTCCACCTCGCCGCTGCGGGTCCTGGTGGGAT